CTATCTCTCTCTCATCCTCTTCTCGTCTCTTCTTCTCTCTCCTCTCTCTCGTCTCCTTCTCTCCTCTCCTCTATCTTTCTCCCGACGCAGCTTAGTGAGATTTGCGAAGGTGTGACTTGATCTACAACGGGAGCTAGTTAGATGTCGACCTTCGCCTTTTCTTGTGTTTACATGAAACTAAGTCCTTATTGCAAATTCATGAGGGTGTGTATGTGTATAGGAGGACACCGCTTGTCTTCATAGCTTATCCTTTATGGCTGTTTGTAGAGAAGCGCCTGGCAGAAGACATGCGATCGGCATCCAAGTCATTTCCGGAAGAAATGCCCCGCACGCTCTTCTTTTCCTGGTTGCGGTCTCCCAGGGTTTCCGGATCCACGCATGCCGGTCCTCGTCACGGAGCGCCTCGCATGCGTGTGTGCATCGTACACCTTCGCATCAATGTCGTAATGCATTTGCTTTTTTGCGTGCAGTATGTGAACGTATTCGGTGGCCGTGAACAATGCGGCTTTGTACTGTATGGTGTCACTATTTTTGTTATCTTGAAAGTATAGAAAGTGTTGCAGTGACTCATGATGGTTGAATAAATCATCTGTACTTTTCGCAGGGCTATATTATGGTAATTAGAAAACAGGTGGAATTGTCTAGTTTCGACGTTCTCCTCTCTTCTTACATTCTGGCTTCTACCTTTCTCTGGATATCCTTACCCGTGTGACTTTCCTTTGCCTGTATCCCCATGGAAGTCAGCCTGACTTTCTCCATTACAGTCTGCATACCGGTGTGTATTTCCTTTAAATACTGTCCTGTGATTATTTTCCGTCAGACTCTGAGTGGGCGTCTTATGCTATGTGAAATTCGGTCAGTTCGCTGTGTTGGCGTGACGGATTAAAGAAATTTGGGTTTGTTAGGTTTATCCCGGGTATCTCTCTTTCCGGAGCCACTCTCTTCTTGACTACCGTACTGTCATGGTTCCTCTGTAAACTATAGTTTATTCACCAAGCTAGGTCCCTATAATCAGTCATAGGTGGGAAATGGTTTCCGACTCTCGTGCTACCCATTATGTCTTTCGGTTCTCTTGGATATATTCCTTCTTTCTTCTTCTCTCTCTCTCTCTCAATCCCCTCTCTCCTCGCCTTTACGGGCCCTATACCACCTCCCCCTCCACACCGGGCGTCCTTATACTTTCTCCCCTCCCCTCTTATCAGGATTCATACGGGAGGACTTATACCAACACCCCTCCCGTTCATGTTCTCCCTCCCGCAGAGAGACCAAGGAGAGCCGACGAGAGAGACGTGAACCGAGAGACTTGAGACTGAGCAGCGTAGCACCCGCAGAGAGAGAGAGAGGAGAGACTCGATCCCTCGGACGAGAGCGGAGAACCTTCCACCCCCTCTCATCCTCCCCTCAACCCCCCGTATCTCCATGAGCAGACCCCATCCGAGAGCCCTCTCTCTCTTCTTCCTCTCTGCATTCTTCCTCTCTCTCCTCTCTCTCTCTCTCCGTCTATCTCTTCTCTCTCTTCTCTCTCCTCCTCTCTCTCTCTCTCTCTCTCTCTCTCTCTCCTGTCCCTCCTCTCTCTCTCTTCTCTCTCTCTCTCCTCTCTCTCCCTCTCTCGCCTCTCTCCTTCCCGCCTCTCTCCTCGCCCTTCTCCTCCCCTCTCTCCTTCTCGCCCTCTCTCCCTTTCCCTCCCTCACATTTCTCTCTATTCTTCCCAATTCCCTCCCTTTCCCTGCTTATTTTTCCATGCCTAGTAACCTCGTTGATTGTGCCGACCAAGGCAAGGGCATCTCCGTTATTATGGAACCTTTTTAAAAAAACAACAGCAAATGCATTATATAAATTATATTCTTACCAATACTGCTCTAGTTGTACTATTGCCGATCGCTCTTGCATCTTACTACGGTCCTACTTACTATCAATATATCAATATGTATATGTCGTGTGCGTGTGTGCGTGTGTGTGATGTGTGTGTGTGTGTGTGTGTGTGTGTGTGTGTGGTGTGTGTGTGTGTGTGTGTGTGTTGTGTTGTTGTTGTTGTTTGTTTGTTTGTTAGTGCGTTTATGTATGTATACACATTGGTATAAACGTACTTTTCCTCCTTAGGTCCTTATTAATCTTCCCTTCCGACCCGTCCATTCCCCGCAGGGTGCGGCAGGGAGAGGGTGACGCCCCATCCGCCAGCGCCGCTGGCTCTGCCCTTCCCCTCCGCCGTAGCGATAACAGCCGCCCTCACCTCGGGCCGAAGACCTCCGCGGGGCGCTGTGCTCTCCCCTCCGGGCCCAGCCGTCGGGCCGGCGTCGCCTCCAGGAATTCCAAAGGGACCAGGTCAAAGTCGAGGCAGCACGGCCGGGCGACTATGGCGGGCAAGAACGAAGAGGTCTTGGTGGAGGCGTTCATGACCAAGCGGTCGCAGAACAAGCGCACGTTCACGCACACCAACTGGAAGGAGCGGTGGTTCGTTCTCTCGCCCAAGAACCTCATTTATTACGACGGAGACAAGCAG